GGGGCAGTCGCGCCGCCCGGGCCGAGGTCCCGGGACTCGCGGCGCAGCACGCGCAGCTCGGCGGCCACCACCTCGTCGGCGTCGGGAAGGCTGGACAAGTCGAACAGGAAGCTCTGGCCGGTCTCCGCCGCCGATTCGTCTGCAGGGTCGGGCAGATACAGAGAGAGAGGGAGTGAGTGCGACGGCTCACGGCGACCCCGGAGTCGCCTGGGGCGAATGGGCCGCCTGCCCCGGGTGCCGGCCCGCGCAGCCCCGTCTAGATCGGAGTCGGCACCTCAGTCGACAGCAGCCGGGCTGGGCCAGACCAGAGCGCGGCTTCTCCGTACGATCCGGAACAGGCTTTAGTTCAGCGGACTGAACGTCTCCGCCACCGCAGCACCCCACGCACAGCTGAGCCACCGGGACAAGCGCACCCTCTCCCACCTCAAGACCAAACATAACGCCACTAGAGCTTTTTGTGCGTGCCCCCAGAGCTAGGTCGGAAGCCAGACAGGGCTTCTGGTGGGCACATCAAAGTCCAGCCAGCCAAGGCTGGAAGCCACCAGGCCTTCTGTTGGCCGTGTCTGCTCCTTCCGGGACTGCTCCCTACGGCTCTGCTGAACCCCCAGGAGGGCCTCGAAGTCCAAGCAGTGCAGAAATGGAAAATTCGTGACTGTAACTGCTCCTTCTGCTGCCTCTCTTCTCCAGCCCCGCCAGTCGGGTCTCCCAGGCAAAGTGGGACGCTGAGCACCTTGCCGAAGAGACCAAGCCATCGGCGCTGCAAAGGCTCTAGCGACTCTGGCCTTCCCCGCTGTGCTGAAGGCGAACTGAGGCAGCGGCGGAGGCCAGGCTCAGCTCAGGCTCCCATCCATCAGTGCGCTGGGGTGGCAACTGCAGGCTCACCAGCTCCTAGAGCTGCGAGACCTCCGCAGGGGCGGGTGGGGGTGGCGGTGAGGCTGGGAGGCGGCAGCTGAGCACCGGGTCTTCTACGAGGTGAGGTTCGGGGAAGCCAGGGACTGTCTTGCTGCAGCTAGGGCAGCAGCCCCATGAGATCTTGTCTCCAGGACCTTCTGGTCCTCTCTCAGACTAATTCGTTCCCCTGTTATGACTTATCTCCAGCTTTGGAGTTTTATTTCTGGTCGTGGCACTTTTTTTTCTTTTTTGAGCTTCAGGAAAAAAAGTTAAATTCCACCAAGAAGCAGATAAGGAGCTCTCTTTGAAGAGGGTCATATGGTTTCGTTTTGCCCCAAACTCTGAGAGACTGTGCAGACTCCCCCCACCATTGGAAGTCAAGCCCTCCACTTCTGAGGTCGAAGTCTGGGTGCTGCCAGTGATTTCTGGGGACCCCCAGTTGTACTGCTCCAAACTGAGGCTGGGGGGGTTCAGGAGAAGCCCTAGCATATGCTCCCCCATTTTTCTCTCACCAAGCTTGCCACCAGAGCACTTTCTCTGAGCTGCCCAGGGCTCTCTCAGCTTCAGAGTGCTGACCCTGCGCGCCCCTACCCACAACGGTGAGGCCTCACCAGCCTTGCCAGCCAAACAGAGCTCCCAGGGAAGCTGTTTCCTCAGGCTGCGGCTATGGTGGGCCTACATCTGCCTCTGAGGACGCGTTCCTGTGCCTCTTCTAGCTTTCGTCCCTGCACACCCCACGTCTCCCATCACCTGGGAACAGCCTTGAACTGGCCTGCTCTGGCCTTGTACCCCATTATTCCAGCACCCTATGAGCAGCTGGGGGGGGGGGAATGCAGGCCTTTGGAAACTGCCTGAGAGCCCCACCAGACTAGAGGCCATCTGGGCCCCGGGTATCCAGAATAAGGGCTCTGTGCATCGGCTTTCTGAGTGGTGGCCAGTGGGCAAGGTCTGGCCACTGCAGGGCCTCTACCTGCAGCCCACGCGCAGCCCGCAGTGGCTCGCAGGCGGCGGTCTGCTGCAGTGCTTACTCAGCCTGTTGACTTTACTTTCCCTCCTGCCTTCCATGTCCTGTCTCTGGCTGGATAGAATTAAGGCCCAAATTACTTGCATTTCCGCCTGAAATTAGTTAAATTTTCCCTATCTGTCTGCTCTAATGACTTCAATAGAGATTAATAAAATCCAGATGACACAGCAACCACGGAGACCTCGCCCAAGTCCTACCTTCGGAGGGTTCAGGGCAGAGTAAGGTGGACGCCTGGTCAAAGAGCGGCCTGCATTCCTTCACAGCCTCCCTGGCCATCCTCCTCCTCCCCTCAGAGTCCTCCACCCTGGCTCTCCAGGGCCCAGCGCTGGCCACTGGCCCCCAGGACTACCCCTTCCACCAAGACAGGCAGCTGGCTGAGAAGGGCCTCCCCAAACCTGGGGCTGCCACCAGCATCTCCAGGATACTGACTTTAGTCTGAAGGCGCCTCTGTCCGAGTTCCCCGGAGTTTCACCGTGATTTGTGCGGCCCCAAGAGACTGGGAGCTGCGCTTGCTGCCACCAAGTCGCCGCTGTCCCCACCACGACCGCTGCAGAGGTCTGGGCCGGTCCTGCCTGGCTTCTCCAAACTAGGACTAACCTGCCTCCTCGAGGGGACGGCGCCCACGGGGACCCGCTCAGCCCTCCTCCGGCGCCGGCCCCGCACGCTGCCACGACTCTCGCCACAGCCGTGGCGCGGCGAGTCCGGGTGTGGGGCGCCGGGTGAACGCGGGAGCACCTGAGGCTGGGGGTGCGGGGCCAGCCCCGAAGGGAAGGGAGCAGGGGCCCGGCTCTCGCGGCGGCCTCCGCCTAGGACGCGGCTGGACGGCGGGCGCAGAAGAGGCGTGAGTACCTTGGGTCGCCTGGTCTGCGAAGCCGGTGATGGTGTCCGCGGGGCTGTGGCGGCCAGAGCCCGAGGGAGAGGCGTCGGCTGCCGCGGTCGGGGACCTCCCGGCCAGGCTCCGGTAAAGCGACATCATGAACTGGTGCGGCACCACCGAGCCGTTCCTGAAGCCGGAGCCGGCGGCGCGCCGCGCCGCGCGGGCCCCGGGAGCC